CCTCTGACCCTCTTCCCTCTCGTGCTATCTCTCATTCTCTCTCTCTCAAATAAATAAATCAAATCTTTAAAAAAAATAAAGATGTAATAATAAAATAAACACAAATGGAGCCATCACTCAGTTTAAAGAAATGGGAGATTGCAGGGTGCCTGGCTGGCTCAGTCGGTAGAGCCTGCGACTCTTGACCTTGGGGCTGTGAGTTCAAGCCCCATGTTAGGTATAGAGATCACTTAAAATAAGATAAGAAAATCTTTTTTAAAAAAGAGAAATAAATAAGAGAGTAAACATTTTTTAGGGGCACCTGGCTGGCTTAGTAGAACACACGACTCTTGATCTCGAGATCGTGAGTTCAAGTCCCACGTTGGGTGTAGAGCCTACGTAAAAAAAAAAAAAAAAAAAAAAAAAAATTGGGGGAGGACACCTGGGTGGCTCAGTGTTAAGCATCTGCCTTCGGCTCAGGTCATGATCCCAGGGTCCTGGGATCGAGCCCTGCATCGGGCTCCCTGCCCAGCGGGAAGCCTGCTTCTCCCTCTCCCTCTGCCTGCTGCTCCCCTTGCTTGTGCTCGCTCTCTCTCTCTCTCTCTCTCTCTCTCTCTCTGTCAAATAAATAAATAAATAAATAATCTTAAAAAAAAAATCACGCCTCTTCCATTTTACAGAGGAGAAAACGGAAGGGTTTTGCTGCAAGGGGAGGCACCTGACTCAAGTGGCACCATTAAGTGGCAGAGGGGAAACTGGAAATTAGATTATCTGTTTCCAGAGCCTCCTACTCTCTTCTGACTCGGGCAGACCTCCCATGTCCATCCAGATCCACTCTGTCACTGAGTGTCGCCATGACGCCGGCAACCGTCAGCGCAGCATCCCCTGTGCCAGGCAGGGTGCTCACCTGCATGAGCTCAGCGAGGCCGCACCACATCCAGTCAGCTTGGCACGAGGGCTAACCCCATTTTACAGAGCAGATAACTGAGGCTCGAGGAGGCTCAGTACACTTGCCCAAGGTCACAGAACTAGAAAGGACAGAGACCACTCACACCAGGTTTCTCTGCCCCCGGGGGGGGGGGGGCATGCTGGGGCTAGCGGGAGCACCGAAGTTTGCAGAGAGCGCCACCATCCAGGGAGGGCTCTTCCTTAGCGTCTACAATCCAGCGGAGACCCCAGAAGGGAGACAGAAATCTCCTTGAATCAGCAAAACAGTTGGCAAAAAGGCAATGCTCCAAAGCTACTGCCATTTACTCCTAGGAAAGCCCTTATCTCTTGGTTTGCAAACAAATGTACCAACCTTGGGGGGTGGGGCAGAGCAGAGCAAAAGCAGTCCCCCAAGAGGGAGCTGTAGGAGACGTGGTTCCTGCCCACCGGCCCCCATCCTAACTTTCTCGCTTTCCCTCAGTTATCCATGCCTCCCCCAAGCACTGGCCGTGCCTCAGGGCAAGGCTTCCCAACATTTTCACAGCAGGGCACACATAGAAAACCAAAATATTTGCACAGCATCTGAGTCACACGGAGGGTATTGGGAGATATTTGGAAGTCTTTTTTTTTTTGTAAGGTTTTTTATTTATTTGACAGAGAGAGAGACAGCGAGAGAGGGAACACAAGCAGGGGGAAGTGGGAGAGGGAGAAGCAGGCTTCCGGCCAAGCAGAGAGCCCGATGCGGGGCTCGATCCCAGGACCCTGGGATCACGACCCGAGCCGAAGGCAGACGCTTAACGACTGAGCCACCCGGGCGCCCCGATATTTGGAAGTCTTGATGAAAATTTCAGAACACATGCTTCATAACATGTTAGGATTAGAAACTGTTTAACATATTAGGGAAGGTGTTAAAGTTTGGTTTTGTATAAAACTTCCAAATAAAACATCATACCCGTTAAGAGAAGACACGACACGAGAGGCCACACTCATACTGTATGAGTCCGTCCGGACAACAGGGTGGAAACAGCACAACCATCGGGGCAGAAACCGGATCTGTGGTTTCCAGGGGCTAGGGTGGGAGAAGGGTGCTGACTGCAGGCTGGCGTGGGGGAACTGGGGTATATATTCCATGTCGCCATTGTGGTGGTGGTGGCTGGGCTGTTGACATTTGTCAGAAATCATCAAAGTCAATTTCACTGTGTGTCGATTTAGCGGGAGTTCCTGGAGCTGTCCGCTCCTCAGAATCACCTTGGGTGGGAAGTTCAGAAAGCCAGGCCTCACCCACAACCTACTGAATCAGAACCTGGCTGGGGGGGGGAACGCGAGGGGTCAGTAATGTGCATTTTAACAAGCTCCCCAGGTAACGGGGCGGCGGGGTGGTTTGCAGTGTGTGGTTTGGGGCCAAGGCTTCTGGGTCAGGACAGGATTCCAAGCTTCTATCTCCTGCCCAGACTTGAACCCTGAATCCCAGGCTCATACATCAACGTCCACCTGCCCTCTGCCCCCGGATCCTCACCAGCCCCACCCATAGTCTTCACCATTTCAATTGATGGCAGCTCCATTCCTCCAGAATTTGAGGCCACAAACTTTGACATCATCTTCCATTCCTCTTTTTTTTTTTTTTTGTCTTGTCATTTAGTTTTTATTTCACAACTTAACTCTTATGTCCAGCTGGACTGGGAGGGGGATAAGGAACATGTGGAACCCAAAGATCTATTGTGAGAGCACGAAGACCATAGGACTCTGCGGGCAGATGGGGAGAGGGGTGCCCTCCCGAGATAAAGCACAAGCCAATTTATTAGCGCTGTCCGGAGACAATCCTGGTGACCTGGCTGGTCTTGCCATTCCTGGATCCGGAGCGATCCACGGTGTCTGTGTCCTCTTTCACCTTGCCAAAGACCACAGGCTCACCATCCAGCCGCTCGGGCTTGGCAGCCCAGATGAAAAACTGGGCACCATTTGTGTTGGGGCCAGCATTGACCATGGACCAGATGCCAGGACCCGTGTGCTTTGGGTTAAAAATTCTCATCATCAAACTTCTCCCTGTGGATGGACTTGCCCCCAGCACCTTCATGGCATGGGTCATCACCGCCCTGGCACAGAAATCCGCGAATCCTTCTGGGAAAGCAGGAGCCAAACCCTTCCTCCCCAGTCCTCGGAGCACGCAAGTTTGCTGCTGTCTTGGGAACTTTGTCTACAAACAACTGGAAGGCGGTGCTGCCCAGCAGCTCAAGAGTACGGTGGGGTTGACCATAGCTGGGCAGCGCAGGGAGGCTCTGGGTGGCGGGGCCAGCATCTGCAAAGCCTCCTGTCCTGCTCTAGAAATTCTGTCGGCTCTGCCTTCTCACTGCCCCGCTGCCAGCGAACACCCTGCTCTGGGGCACCATTGTCTCACCTGGATTATTACAATGGGTTCCTAACTTCTCTCCTTCTCTCCCCTGGGCTGACCTACAGTTTATTCTCAGTACTATAGCCAGGGTGCTCATGTTAAAATAACTTAGATCAAGTCATTTCTCGGCCTCAAACTCTCTGGGGGCTACCCGTTCCAGAGTAAAAGACAGAATGTCCTCCAAGGCCCTCGTTGCTCCGGCCCTGACCTTGGCTCCATCATCTATCTCCTCGCCCTCCAGGCCTTGCTCACTCGGCTCCGGCCACACTGGCCTCCTTGCTGTCTTTTGAACCCGCCAGTCCTGCTCCTGCCTCAGGACCTTTGCATGTGCTGTTCCCTTGGTCTGGAATGGGCTTCCTTCAGTTATCCCCACAGCCTACCCCCTCACCTCCGAGTCTTTGTTCAGATGTTAACTTCTCAAACCATACTTGATGTCTCCTTCCTCATTTGGCTCTTTAGCATCTACCACTCTAATATTTGCTTATTTATTTCTGTCTATCTCCCTCCTAGAATGTCAGCTGCACCAGGTCAGGGATTTGGGGGGCACTTTTATTCACTGCTGTATCCCTAATGCCTAAACCTGGCCCATAGGACGGGCTCAATAAATGGTTTTAATGAGTGAAGGGGACACCGGAAGCCTAGAGAGAAGGGACTTGCACAAGGTCATCGCCATCTGGAATCAATGGCTCTTCACTCTTGGAACTAACAAAGCACCCGTCCAATACCTTTGACCCAAAGTCCTTCTCCCAGCCATGCCAGGTCCCGGGACCAAAGCCAGGCCAGCAGGACCTCATCCCCAGGACAGAAGCAAGGGATATCCCAGCCTCAGGGGGTGCCTGTCCGACTCTGCCAGGACCCTGGGTCTTGTGCAACCAAGTCAAGGGGCTGCCCTGGGAGGGGGCTCCTCTGAAGAAGGAAGCCTAGGCATGCCGGTGCCACAGTCTTGTGCTGGTGGAGGCCAAGGCCAGGAGCCACCTCCCTACGCCCTCCAGCTGCCTGAGTTCAGGCATTGGAAGACAGTAACTGGGCCCAGAAGCCGAACCCAATGGAGGGGGGATGGAGAGGGAAGACCAGCAGGTCCCCAGCAAGAGAGCCGGAAAACGTGGAGCTGCTGTAGGTAGCCCACCAGCACAGGGGGCTCATTCCAAATGCCCGAGGCTCCCTTTCCCCTTGCGGTCCCACACCAGCAGAAGGCGCCCTGGCCCACAAGGTCCATGTTCTGCTTTCTTTCACCCTCTGGTGGCCACATGGGTTAGGGCCAGAGGGGAGCCTTGCATCCATCTACCCCGTCTCCCTCCAGCGAAGGGTTGCACCCTCACAAGTGAAGATTCAAAGAGGAGGAGGTTCAGCAGCCCTGGGTCTGGGCCCACCCTACCCAGCAAGGTGAGGCTGGTGATGCCCAGGACAGCCCCAGTGGGTGAGCATTTATTGTGGGCTGGGCTCCGGGCCAGGCCATTCTATACCCACCTAGCCCCTGACATGCTTCTCTTCCTCGAAAACTTCACCACCAAGCAGACCAAGACCCAGGGGGGGATGGCATCCATCCCAGATCACCTAGCCAGGAGATGGTGATGCCAGGTCGGCCTGACTCCTCCCCCAGGCTGCCCTCCCCTCTCTGTCTCTCCAAGGGCTCATCCATAGATCAGGAGCCCTTCACTCCCAGTCCTCGTGACACAGAAAGAGGCTCCTCCAGGAGTTAAAAATATAAAGTGCAAATACCAGCTGGCTTTTACTGAGGGCTTACTATGTGCTGGGCACCAGGTCTGCCAGGGCCCTCCTCCCACCTCCCTGCACTTCCCAGTGGCCAGGGGGAGAGGATGGGCCCAGGCAGCTGAGACCCAGGTGTCGAGTGGGGAGGGGGCTGAGGTGGAGGTAGAAGGTGGTGGAGGGGCCCCAGCAGTTGGGTCCGCGGAGAGGGCAGGGCTCCTGGTGTCCGTCCAGCTTGAAACCAAAGGCTGGGGTGCCCCCCTCCCTCCCTCCACCCCAGGCCCTGAGTCAGGCCGGGCAGGGTGAGAGGGCCTGTGAGCCCTGCCTTTTCTCTACACGACCTTCAGGGAAGGGGACCCATCTCAGAGTGGTCTCTCCTGATGCAAGACGGGGCCAGAGGGCAGAGTGGCCATGGCTAAGGTGACAGTCGGGTCTCTGTGGGGTCTGTGGCTCTTGGTGGTGGTTCCTGCAGCTATTTCCAACCTCCTCCCTGGCCAGCCACAGCCTGCTCCTGGCCATTCCTCTGGAGTCACCGCCTGGCCCTGGTGGGACAGAAAAGGCAAGAGAGAAAGAGAAAGAACTAGAGTTGGATATCCAGAGGCATCTGACAGAAAAAGAGACAGGGCACCTGGGTGGCTCAGTCGTTAAGCGTCTGCCTTCGGCTCGGGTCATGGTCCCGGGGTCCTGGGATCGAGCCCCACCTCGGGCTCCCTGCTCGGCGGGGAGCCTGCTTCTCCCTCTGACCCTCCCCCCTCTCATGTGCGCTCTCTCTCTCTCTCTCTCATTCTCTCTGTCTCAAATAAATAAATAAATAAATAAATCTTTAAAAAAAAAAGATTTTACTTATTTATTTGACAGAGAGAGACAGCGAGAGCAGGAACACAAGCAGGGGGAGTGGGAGAGGGAGAAGCGGGCTTCCCTGCTGAGCAGGGAGCCCGATGCAGGGCTCCATCCCAGGACCCCGGGACCATGACCCGAGCCGAAGGCAGACGCTTAACGACCGAGCCACCCAGGTGCCCTCAAATAAATAAAATCTTAAAAAAAGAAAAAGAAAAAGACACAGAGAAGATCCGAGAGACACAGATAGGCAGAGAGAGAGAAGAAGCTTAAGATAGAGAAATGCAGGGAGCCACAGAGAGAGAGCACAGAGCACAGCCAGAGAGAGAGAGGAGAGAAGGCAGGCTGAGGAGGAGGCAAGAGAGACCCAGACCCAGCCTAGAAGGGAGAGCAAACTGAGGCGCATGGGGCTGGGGTCCTCTTCCCAGGCCCACCCTCACCTAGAGCTCATCCCGGGGGTGGAGGCTGTGCCCACTGCTGCCAGCCAGGTCCAGGCGGGGGCCACGCAGGGTCTTGTGAGAGCCACTCCAGCTGATGATGCGGCCGCTGTCATCGTCCCAGGGCGAGGATGTCTCCGTGTCGCTGAGCCACTCAGCGTCCCCTGCATAGTGGGTGGGGGCAGCGAGCAAGGGCCGGGCGGAGAAGGCATGCAGGTCCCTCGGCCAGAAGTGCGCCTTGTAGTGCTCACTGTGAGGCAGGGGCAAGGCTCAGGAGGGCTGAGGTGGGTCCCGCCAGCCACACCGCACGCCCGCCTGGAGCCGGACACCTCACCTGCCCGAAGCACCTCACCACACTGCCCTCCCCCTCAAGACTGCACAACAAACTCAAGAAGCAGGGTCTCTATTCTCCCCATTTTCCAGACGGGGAAACTGAGGCTCACAACAGGGACGTGGCTTGACTAAGAACCACACAGGCGGCCCAGAATTCACACCTAGGTTGGTCTGACTCCAGGGCCAGGCTGGGCTACTCCTTGGCGACCTTGAAGAAGTGACTCAGCCTCAGTCTCCCCAGCTGCCCTCGCCAAGGTGGGCTCCCCGGATGAGCTGACCCTGCCCGGCCCCCATCTAAGACTCACTTGGGGTGCCGGTCAAACATGATGGGCAGGAACTCGTCCACAGGCAGCATTCGGCGCAGGGGTTGGGAGGCCAGCAGCTTGCGAGCACCTGCCAGACTCAAGACATAGGCCAGGGTCCAGTAGGAGTATCCGGCCACCACCAGATGTGGCAGCCCATCCACGGCGGCCTCCTCCTCGGGGTTCACCTGCTTCCGGCCCAGGTAGCTGCGGGTGACAGCGAGGGCAACCAGGAGTCACTGCAGGTCCTGTGGTGTCCAAGGACCCCTTCCCCAATCACAGACCAGGCTCAGCGGGAGGACTGGCCAGGCTCCCAGCAGGAGAAGGCAGAGCCCCAGAGCCCCCGCACTGTGCACCATCCCACAGGTGCAGGCTGCCTACATTAGGTCCCATGGCAACTTCTCTGCCTCCACCTCCTCCATCAGCCGCTCCAGTCGCCCCCTGAAGTTGCTCTCAAAGCGCACGTCGTCCTCAAACACCAGGACCTGGGCCAGGCCCCTGGCAACCACCTGCAATAATGGGGGGGGGGGAGCGACACACAACATGGGGGATGCTCTTTAGATTCAGGCGGTCCCCTTCCACCTGCCTGACAGACTCTCCCTGGCCTCCATTATATGCCAAAGGCTCAGCCCTGGCCACATCACTCAGCTGCTCCAAAGCCTGCTGGGGCTCCCACCGTTTGGGGACTGAAGTCCCAACATCTGGCTCTGGCAGTCAAGGTCCTCCAGGCCCCCAGTCTAGCTCTCCAAGTAGACTCTGATGGCAATCATAACCTTTGCCACGTTCACTGGGTGCAGCTATGTATCTGTGGGACCCTCAGGAGGCAGGACACATGATGTCCCCGTACTGCAGTAAGGAGACTCCAGGCCCAGCTCCTCACTTGGCCTCCTAAGCTGTCCTCAAGGAAGCTGGGCTGGCTGGAGGTGGGGGAAGACCCCAGCCCCCACAATCCCTAAGAGAAAGGTTTTTTTTGTTTTGTTTTGTTTTTAAGATTTTATTTACTTATTTGACAGAGAGAGACACAGCGAGAGAGGGAACACAAGCAGGGGGAGTGGGAGAGGGAGAAGCAGGCTTCCCGCGGAGCAGGGAGCCTGATGTGGGGCTCAATCCCAGGATCACGACCCGAGCCGAAGGCAGACGCTCAACGACTGAGCCACCCAGGTGCCCCTAGAGAAAGTTATTTTTGTAACTTCTAGAAATGTGAAAAGAACATGAAATCAGCTCAGTAAACGGTGAAATGGAAGTCATCCTTCAATCTGTTCAGGGACCGTAGAAGATGGGGCGCCTGGCTGGCTCAGTCGGTTAAGGGTCTGCCTTCGGCTCAGGTCATGATCCCGGGGTCCTGGGATCGAGCCCCGCATCGGGTTCCCTGCTCGGCAGGAGACTGTTTCTCCCTCTCCCTCTGCCTGCAGCTCTGCCTGCTTATGCTCTCTCTCTCTCTCTGCCTGTCAAGTAAATAAATAAAATCTTAAAAAAAAAAAAAAAAAAGAAAGAAACAGTAGAAGATAAACAGAAACATAAGCTCATGTCCTTATATTTTGGTTATGGTGGAAAATAAAAACAAGGAGTGGGTCTGGGTGCTGCCTCCTGGAGGGGGCACCCGCCCCTTGGAGGGCCAGTCCCCTGGTCCCTCCTGCAGTGGCCAGGCAGTGACCTCTCACTGGCGCTCACCTGCCCCCCCAGCCCTGAGCTGAGGCTTCTGGGCCAAGCCCCAGGCCTTTCTTCTCCCCCCCCCACCCCCGGAACACACAGCTCCGGTCTGCCTCAGGGCCTTTGCCCCACCGTTTTCCTCTGCCCGGAAGGCTCTTCTCGCTGCCCCTCGGTGGTGAGGCCCACCCTGGTCCCACACCAGGCCAGGAATGCAAGCCAACCCACACTCCAGGACAGTCTGTACATCTCCCCTCCACGGCTAGCTTGCTTCTTCCCGGTTTCTGTGCCCTGCTCTGGTCCCTGAGCCCCAGAAGGGTGAGACGGACCTTTTCCTTGTTCGCCTCTGTATTCTCAGCACAAGATCTCCCAGCACACAGGAGGGGCTCCGTAGAGACTACAGTATGAGTACGGCACAGGGTTGAATGCATAGGAGGTTTAAAGCTGCCGGCCAGGTCTTCCTTAGTATATCTATTCACCCGCTGGTTCCCCTGGGCGCTGAGCACAGAGCAGCAAATAGGGTGCCCCCCCCCACTGCTCTCCCTGCGGGAGCGGCGTCCTCACCTCCTCCCAGATGGAGTAGTGGCTGAGAAAACAGCCCACCTCGCCCTTGGTCAGTGTGCGGCCCGAGTAGGGGTCCTGGTAGCCAGGGAGCAGGTCCACGCCGAGGCTCCTCATGATACTGGTGTTGAGTGTCCTGAGGGAGACAGGTATCATGGGGCGAGGGGTGCCTGGCCTGTGCCTGCTGGGGGCAGTCACACTGGAGTTTAATTTAAAGGTGTCAACCTCGTTACTGCTTCATGTGGCCTGGAGATGTTGGAGACAACCCAGGGAACCAGAGCCACCTAAGGCCGGGGTGACCCTCGAGGGAGGGAATAGAAGCATGGGGAGATGGGCAGCAGCCTGAGGGGCATGCTCCCCAGAATGAACGTAGGGGGACACGGCATCTGCTTCTCAGGCAGAGGCCTGAGAAGAGGATGAACAACCTACTGTTGTAAGGGCTGGGGGCACAAGGGGCCAATAGCCGTGGGCAAGCACAGCCATGTGACCTCTGGTTCCTCAGGGCTACAGGACTGGCCCCTGCCCCCACCCCCACCCATCAGGGCCCTAAGTCCAAGACAGAGAAGAGTAAGCCTGATAATAATAAAGACACCTAACCTTTGGAATACTTCTTTTGTGTCAGGCCCTGGCAAAGTCCTCACCGAGCCCTTAGAAGTCCTAAGAGGGAGGCACAATTAACTGCCATTCACACAGCAGGGCTGGGAGGTGGCGGTGACTTGCCGGAGGTCACCCAGCTGGTAAGTGGCAGAGCTGGAACGCAAGTCTAGGGGCTCCAGATTCTGGGCCGTGCTCTCCTGTGCTCTCCTCCCTCCGGTAGGCCCTGGGGCTCTCTAAGACAGAATCACTCAGGCCCTGTTTGATCACCTCCTGGAACAGCAAACTCATTCCACTCATTTGTCTGCTCTTCCCAATCCCAGGGAGCTCCAGTGGGCCACACTGCTCCCCTAGCTGCCCAGGGCCCCGCCCCCGGGGAGCCTCACCGGCCGTCCACAGCATCCACCACCCGCCCAGAAATCTCCATCTCCCAGAGCGAGCTTAGCATGCGCTCACGGCGGTCGGGCCGGCGGGCCAGGCTGATGACAAACACCTAGAGGAGGCAGGGAAGGTGGGTGCGGGAGGGGTGGGTGTAGCGGGAGGGGAGAGCCCACCCACTTCCTGACCCCAATTCTGCGGGCTGAGGGAACTTACCTCATCAAACCCCATCTTGCTGGGTCGTTTGGGGGGCCGGGACACATGCGCTGAGGCCCACATGGGGGGCCCGTCCACTGCAGAGGAAAGCACCCCCCATCATGAATCCCTACAGACTGTTGTCAGCAGTGACCCTGGAGTCCCCGCCCCGCCCCCACCCTTGCCCCCTTGGAACACCCAGGAGGAAGGGCCGTCAGAGATTATAGGATCCACCTGCTTCCATCATAGAGATGGGGACACTGAGGCTCAGTGGGGAAAAGGGCTTGCCCAGAGTCAGGGAGTAAGTTAGACGTTGAGGCTGGGACCGCAGGCCCACTGCCCAGTCAGGTCCGGGGCCTGGGAGAAGGGGCACAGGCGGTGGGAGGCTAGCATGGCAGCAGGCTAGTGACCTGGCTCCCAGCCCTCACCTAGGGCTTCCAAGATCAGGTGGATGAAGTTGACCCTCTCATCCTCCAGGCCCTGGTGGGATTTCACGGGCACATTCATGTACCCGTAACGGTGTGCATTACACACATGGACTGTAACCCCTGTGGAGAGAGGCCAAGTGAGTGCTGGAGCAGGGGAGCAGGGCTCTTGGAACCCAAGGCAGGCATCCTCTCTGGGACTCAGTGTCCCCGCTGTGGGGTTGGAGGGAGAAAAGGCTTGACTCTAACAATATCTAAGGGACCTTTCTAGCTGAGATGGTTTATGCTGGTCTAGAGCACCAGCTGGGTGCTGGAGGATGGTGGTGAGCAGGACAGAGCCCTGTCCCTGGGGGATCATGGGGAGACAGGAGAAAGCAAACTCCCATCTGACCACAGCCTTCGGGCCAGTCCATTGCTCTACCTGCTAAAGCTCCCCACCTCCCGGCCTTGCCACCCCGCTGGATCCTGCACCATCACTTCGTGCCCAGACCCCTATGAGTGACCCCACACTCTCTCCTGCCTCCCCCCGCCAACCAGAGTGGCCTTTTCTATTTCTTCAATATTTGTCACCTTTACTGCAATTACTTCTTTCCCCTTTATCTCCTACAGACTGTGAACTCTTGAGTGGCAGGCACACAGAATCCGCTTGAAAGTCAACCCCACGCCCAGCATGGAGCACAGAGCCTGGGCCAGCGTGGGGACTCAGTAGCTGGGTGCTGGGCGCCTGGATGACAGGGATGAAACCCCCTGCAAACCGCTGACCAGTTAACAGCGGCTGACACCCGAAGTAGTGGTAGCAGTGACAAAAACACGGCAACACTTCTGCTTCTTCTCATGGATTCTCCATGGGTTTGTTTTTCCTTCACTTGCCTTTTGCACTTGATACGATTTTTTTTTGCCTTGCACGTCTGCAGTAGCAGACTCCACCAACACCTCTTGCATGAAAAAGCCAATGACAACATGTCCCCCTCTGGCCACTGTGGGCACGCTGCTTGCTCAGGTGCAGCACTCCTGGGTTACATCGTCACTTCTCCTTCTCCCTGAATTGGCCTGTGCAGTCCTCTCAAGATCCTTTTCCCAACACCGGGCGTCTCTGTCCCACTCTCATCTCTGACTCTTCCTCAGGACTGGATTTATCCCGGCAGAGCCCAGACATTTTGCGGTAATTTTCATCTTAAAAATAACGCCAACACCCGAGTGTTCTTTTCAGTGTGTGAAGCCAATCGCGTGATCCTCTGATGGCTGCCCAGTGTTGTCAGGCTAAAGACCAGATGCCGGCCGGTCAGGTCCACACAGGCTGGCCCCTGCCTAGGTTTCCTGCCTCAGCCTCTGCCACGCCTCCCCTCACTTATTATGCTCCTGTCACCTGCCTTCTTACATTGCCTGCTACCATAGGGCCTTTGCACCTGCTGGTCCTTTGGTCCTGTTGCCTAAAATGCTCTTTCTTGCTCTTGTTAATGCTTTCCCGTACTTCAGATCTCAACCTCAAAGTTCACACCCTCCAGGAAGCCTTCCCTGCCCAGATCTACTCTGGCCTAGGCTCCCTGAGCACGCAGAATCAAGAAGCATTCCTTCCTGTCATGGCTGCGATTGGACACTGATTTGTGTGATCCTTGGACTGACTGGACTGGAAGTTCCAGGAGGGCAGAGACCGCCTGACTTTACTCACCACTGTCTCCCCAGTGCCTGGCACATGGTGGGTGCTCCATAAATATTTGCCTAATGAAGGAATATGTGCAAGTGCCATGATGGGGAGCCAGAAGGACATCTAACCTTCCAGGGCCACGGGCTCAAGAAAGGCTATGACCCAGACAAACAGGAGTTTAACAGGATGGATGGGAGACTGGGGAAGGGCGTGCAAAGCAGAGGGAACAGCATATGCAAAGACCTAGAGGCCTCCAGGGTTGCTCACAGAGAGCCGGTCCTCACCAGCGGCCTGGCAGGCATAGGCGAAGACGATGATATCGTCGAAAGGCCAGGTGTAGTTGGGATGAGGGGGGTAGAAGGCGAGCTGGGCTGTCCCGTTAGCCCGCAAGGACACCAGGAAGGTGGAATGGACCATGGGGACCTGGAAGCAGCCCTGGCGCCGGCGGTTCTTGGTGGGGAAGTAGTCGGCTGTGCGGCGGTAGTAGCCCTGGGGAAAGGGGTTGCTCTGAACTATGATGGGGCCCCTCCATCCCCAGAACACTGCCTCCCCTGACATGGCCCACAGACCCCGAGGCCTCCGTCCCCAGCCTTACCTGGGGCGTGATCCCACACCAGAAATTGGAGTAGTAGGTCTGGGAGTCCAGCATCGGGGCCACCACGGGCAGCCCCTGCTCTATCAGAAGCCTCAGCGTCTGGTTGTTGGTCAGAATGTTGTCTGTATCTGCAAACTTTTGGGAGAGGGGTATCACAGACCCCAGCTTTGTCTGGGCTGTACCCTTAAGGAGTCACTGAGTGGGATCCCTCTAGATTGCCAGAGACGCTGCATGTCTCCCAGGATCCAATGGCGTCCCGTTAGAGAGTTCTAACCTATAAACCAATAGGTGTATTTCTGGACCAATAGCTCTGGGATCGGGTCCAGAGATTCTACCTGAGTTGCTAATCTAAGAGCTTTATTCTAGATCTGACTTAGGGAGTAGAGCCAAAGACCTACGCTGAGTTCTAGTCTGGAGAACGAAGCTCAGTTTATACTCCGGGCTCTAGCCCAAGAACCTAGGCTCAGTATATACCCGGCAATCTGTTTCAGGGATCCAGGCTTCATAGCTAATCTGAGCTCAAGCATAGGGATCCAAGCTCAATGTCCGGTCTGGGTTCTGACCCAGGTTGCTAGCTGAAGGGTCCAGCCTACAGGTAGTTAAGTCACACCGAGACTGCTGTCAGGGACAGATACCACCACCTGTGGGAAACCCCATCCTAGCCAGGCTTTCTTACCAGGATGTAGTCAGCCCCCCAGTCCCTGGCAAAGGTCAGGGCTTCCTGTTTCAACTCCATCAGAAACTGGTGCCTTTCTCTGGTCCAGTGCTTGGGCCCCTCTTCGTCTGGGTAGGACCTGAGAGGTTCGAGAGATGAGAAGTTCACCAGGGGCAGGTGTCCATGGTCCCCCTGGCGGCAGGGCAGTGGAGAGAGCCCTGGCCTGGAGGTGGGGGCTTGCAGCTGTCCCTTTTCCTCCCTGGGTGGCAGCTGTTAGCCAAGAACCCTTCCCTCCAGTCACCACCTGGGCTCCCCCTCGGGCCTCCAGACCACAGCCGCGTAGTGGTCACCCACAGCGGCCAGCCACTCCTGCAGCATCTGCGTGGTGTTGTCCGTGTTGTGGTCCGTGGCACACCTGGGGATGCGGGAGGAAGAAGGGTGAGGGGGCCCTGCCACCGAAGGGCCAGACCCCGAGGCAGCACTGACCCCTGGAGCACCAACCCCTCCGAGGCTGGACGCTTGGGTGCTGCACGGGGAGGAGGTGTGCTACAGAGTAAGGCAAGCACCCAGGTCCCAGGCACGGGTCTGTGACCCACTGTGTGACCTCAGGCGAGTCCCATTCATCTCTGGACTTCACTTTCTCCCTCTGGAACCAGAAGCTGTCCTGCCTGGCTCATGGGCTGAGACCCCAGAACATGAACGCATTTGAAAGACAAAGCACCTCAGCTTTGAGGACCACACCTGCCACGTGCCCTGGCTACCTTCCTTCCTTACCAGGAGACCACAGATCCGTGCCTCCCCTTGTCTGAGTCAGAACTGGACAGAAGAGCTGCTGCTTCCCTCTGCCAGAAAATTGTAGTAAGGACCAAACCCTCCTCCGAACATCCCTGAGAAGTGCTGATGCGCCTGAGCTCCACGGCCACGGAGCATAACCTCTCCTCTGCGGAGGGGGCTCCCCAGGCGCGGGGGGGGGGGGGTTGGCGCAGAGGGCTTAGCCAAGATCCCAAGTTTTAGGTGATCCTGCCCCTTTAAGCCAATTCCCCAGAAGTGAAGACTAACTACGTGTCAAGTCTCCTAGGGGTGGGAACTAACTAACTCAGACTGTGGTAATTGTGGGCAGCCTCCCCAGACCCTGGCTCCACCCTCAGCGCAACTTTGGTGTGCCCTGGGGGGTAGTTTGTCAATTCTCTCCAGTTTATCCCCAACCTCAGCCTGGGGCTCCTCCCTGTTCTGGCTTCCACACACTGGGGCCGCCGATTCCAGTGAGCCCTGTGGGGATGCCTGGGGGAGAGACTCTAGGAAAGGGGCTCTCTGCCCTGCGCAGGCAGGACCCAGACCCTCCACAGAGAGGCTGAAAGCAGCCCGGGGGAAGGAGGAGCAGGTCTGACGCCCCGCTGCAGAGCAGCATGGAGGCAGACAGCACCCTCACCTGCTCCCCAGGCACCCCCAGGCCTGCTGATCTCTGCCACGTGGGGACCCAGGGCAGGGCAGGCCAGCTGTTCTGCCGGCTCCACTCCAGGTCGAGCCAACCCCAGGGCCCATGGGGGTTTGAGTTTGGGCTCTGAGGCTAGGGCAAGAGGACCCCACTTAAAGCCAGAGGAGGTCCCCAGAGGAGTAAGGGCCGGGGTGGGTGTTCCGGCGTCAACGTAAAGCCTCAGAGGTCAGTCTGCAGGGCCAAGGGGTAAGGGGTCCGGTCCAGGGGCGCAGGGCCGGGCAGGGCCTGTCTGCCAGGGGAGGGGCCTGTCTGAGTGGTGTCTGCACGGAGCAGACGGGGCCATCGGGAGTGGAGGCTATCTGTGGGGCGGGGGGTACATGCCCAGAGGGTGCCAATGCCCGGTCTCTCTCACCAGAGGGCCAGCCTGGCCCGGGGGTAGTCCAGCCGCTCCAGCGCGCCCAGGTAGTGGGGCAGTGAGTGCTCGGCATTGCGGGCCAGGATGGTAAGGACCACGGCGGGCAGCGGCGGCTCCACGACGCCCGCAGCCTGGAGCCACGGCCCCAGCAGGAGCAGCAGCTGAAGCAGCGGGGCGGCGGGGGCGACGGGCATGGCGGGCGCTCGGGCGGCGGCGGCTGCCCCCGGGGCTCGGGCCCGGCGGAGGGGAGTGGGCGGGGCGGCAGGACCGGGGCGGGGCCTGGGGCCTGGGGCCTGGGGCCAGGGCGGGGCCGAGGCGGCCGCACAAGGGCGGGGGGTGGGTGGGAAGCGTACCCCCAAAGACTGGGTTCCACCTCCCAACCGCTACGCGCTGATTCTCAAGTGTCCTCTCCTCAACCCTGGGTGGCGGAGGGCCAGGGCCCGGAGACCCGCCCCACGCGCGACCCGGGGGCAGCCCCCTCCCAGCTGGCCGGCGCGGGGGGGAACGGGGGACGAGGGGAGGGTCCGGGGGGACGGCATCCGAGCCGCTCCGGCGCCTGAGAACGCTCCACTCCGAAGCCTGGTGCGTTCAGCCCCCGGAATCCGGCTCTGCCGAGCGTCCGACGCCCCTGAGTCCGGATTCCCCGGCCTCGCATCCGACCCTCGGACCTGAGCCGCAACCCCGCGGGCCGGGACCGACGGGCCGCAGCCCTTGCCCGGCTCCCCGCTTCCTCCCCGCCCCGCCCCGCCCCGCCCCGCCTCCGCCCCCGGGCGCCCTCTGGCGGACCCATGCGGAACTTCGCAGACCTGCGCGGTGACAGCCCCGGGCGGGGGGGCGCGGGCGGGGTCCCCCGGACCTGGGCGCGCCATCCAGCCCCCCGGGGCGGGGGGCACGGGCGGGGGTCCCCCGGACCTGGGCGCGCCATCCCAGCTGCGTCCCGAGCCTGGCGTCCTCCGCGTGTTGTCGTCCTCGCCTCCGCCGCCAGCGCCGGCGCTGCTCAGGCCCTTTAAGAGAACAAAGCCCACTCTCAGGCGGAGTGTAGGCCCAGGGGGCACCACGGAGCCCGCACCTTGACCCAGCCCTGTCCAAAGCAGGACAGCCTCCCCCGGGGCAGAATCGGGGCCCTGGGGCCCCTGCTGAGATGAGAAGGGGGCTGCAGCCTCCCTTAAGGAGAGGGCAGAAAGGGAGGGCCCTGAGGGCCCCAGGCCAATTCCAGCTCAGTATCTGCTGTGATCCCAGACAGGTCACTTTCCCTGAGCCTCTGGTCCTCATCTGGATGGGTTTGCAAGGATGCCTCGAAAGAATGAACGCACTGGATGCTTCTCTTTGCATGGAGCATGACCCCGGAAAGAGTTGCTGAGGCTGGAAGACAGGACTGGAGAAACCAGGCTCTCCTTCCATTCACCGCCCACGCCCCGCCACCCACCTGGAGGCCTACTTTCCTATGGCAGCTTTGGGTCTCCCTTCAGGCTCTTCCCAGGGTCAGAGAAGAGGGCTAAGCCTGTGCACACTATCTCTGCTGGGAGGGGAGGGGTGGGGAACCAGCAAGGAGTGGACTTGCCTGGTGACGGGGCAGCCTGTGGGGGCATCGAACCCGGGAGTCCCGGTCTTCAGCGCAGCTCCTAAGCTTCCACCAGACCCCGGTCAAAGCTTCGGTGGCCAGTGGCCCTGCAATGAAAGGTCTGAGGCCTCATGGAAGAGTCCCTTCCCTTGCACGGTAGCCTCTGGCCGGAAGGCACTCCCATCCCCAGAATGGGGATTCCATTTCTAAAGCCAAGCGGTATGCCCCACCTGACCTGTTCCAGAGTCATCCCAGAGCCTCTGCCCATCCTATTGGTCACAGGGGCTTCCAAATTCTTCTCTGGCCTCAAGTCTTCTTCCTCCTCCTTCTCCTCCTCTGAATGCATTCACGCCTCCCACTGTCCCCTTCCTCCTTCCCCAGTCCATCCAGTAACCCATCCTTGTCACTGACTCCCTTGCCTGTGGGGTCTCCCATCATCCCTGCCCAGGAAAACCCTATAACCATCTTGCTTTTTGGCGTGGTGGGACTACTGCAGACTCAGGATTTCCACTCTCAACTGGACTCTCGCCAGGCCCAACGGGCCAGTTTCCCTTGCTCCTGCCCCCCCTCCTCTGTGGCATGTCACAGCTTCTCTGAAGCCCCCACTCGAGCAAGGATCTCCCTGCTACTTTTTGGAGAAAAGAGAAGCCCTCACCTGGGAGCTCTCATTTCCAGCGTCCAAGCCTCCATCCCCTGCCGCCAAGCCTGCCTCAGCTCTCACTGCCTGGTATAAAGGAAGAGGCGCCCCCTCCTCACCCTCCTCACGATGGAACAGCTCCGAAGCTCCAAGTTCCATCCCCTTGCCCTTCCTGGATCATCAGCCTCCCTCTCTTCTGGGTGCTTCCTTTGACATTCCAAAGGACTTAAATCTCCCCCAGCTTAAAATAAGAAAACAGCCACAGCCTTATCTCTCTCTCTCCCTCCCGAACCTCTGGAAGGGGGATCTGTGCCTTGCTCCAGGTCTCCCTTCCTCATCTCCCATCATGGCTTGACACACACCAAGGCTGCTCTAGCCAAACTGCTCCTGCCAAGACCAGGGTCCTCCTGGCCACTCCCCTCAACGTTCATTGCCTCCTCATCCAGAGGGCTCCCTTCAGCACCTGACCGCATGGGCCACTCTGTCTTTCTGGAGAACCAACAGGAGTCTCCACTGCCCATCTGGACCCCAATTCCACCTGTTTTTGGTTTTTGGGTTTTTTTAAGTAAACTCTACACCCAGTGTGCGGCTCAACCTCACGACCCTGAGATCAAGAGTCACATGTTCAAAACAGAACCCCAACCTTTCCCCCAAACATGCTCCCCCTCTGTTGGCCTCCCCAGTCGAGAGAACGGCACCTCGGCCACCAGGTCCCTCGAGCTGGAGAGTCCGGTGTCCCGAGATGACAGGTCCCTCTTTCAGCCCACTCCATCACCGCGTCCGGGCAGGCCCGCCTCCTCAGTATCTCTTGCACATGGCCACCTCTTTCCTTCCACACTGCCACTCGTCTGGCTCAGGGCACCAGCACCACTCATGGGGCCCATAGCGTCTCCCAGAGACCTGCCCCCCACGTGTTCGCCCTAGAAACCATTCTGCCCTCAGCCACCCTTTGGAAATGTCTGCGGTTAACACCCTTCAGGGACTGCCCACTGGGAGCACCGAGGCCCTGCAATGGCCTGCGTGACACTTCTCCAACTCCTCTCACCTCCCCTGCCCCTTCCTTCCCCTTTAATTCTCCTGCTCAAGCCAATTTGGACAAGGTACGGTTTCCTCCCAAACACTCCATGCTTTAGGACCGTCCCACATCCTTTTTTTTTTTTTTTTTTTTTTTTTTTTGCTTCCTTCTGCCTGAACTGGTCTTTCTGGACCACTCCTACAGGCCCTCCAGTGTCAGCTGAAACTTGCTTCTCATGGAAAGCCTTCCGCATGTCATGTCGGGGGCACATACCCTGACACAGCATCCTATATAATCCCATTCATTCGGCAAGTATTTATTGAGCACAGACTTACTACATGTGCAGGTAGAAGGTGCACCTCTGCCTCTAGGGTGCTCACATTTCCGTGAGGGGACAGACAGGAAGCAAGCAAGCAAGCTGATAAATTAAGAGATAGTTTCCAAGAAGGGTAAATGCTGCATACGACATAAAACCAGTTAAGAAGAACAGAAAACTGCTGGGGGTGGGAGGCAACATTGAGTAGAGGAGTCAGTGGATCTCTTTCGGGGTATAAGCGAGCCAGCCAAGGGCAGTCCTGGGGGAAGAGTGTTCCACAGGGAGGGAACAGGTCCGGCCAAGGCCCCTGCAGGGGGTGCAACCCAGGAAGCCAGTGGTTGGAGCCCAGTGAGCAAGGGGAGGGTGGAAAGAGGTGAGGATCAGCTAGGGCCTTGAAGCTGAGACAGGAGTTTGGATATTTTTTTTAAAGATTTTATTTATGTATTTGACAGAGAGAGACACAGTGAGAGAGGGAACACAAGCAGGGGGAATGGGAGAGGGAGAAGCAGGCTTCCCGCCGAGCAGGGAGCCCGATGCAGATGCGGGGCTCGATCCCAGGACCCTGGGATGACCTGAGCCAAAGGCAGACGCTTAACGACTGAGCCACCCAGGCGCCCCTGGATATTTTTTTTTTAAAGCGCAATAGGAAGACACTGGAGGGGGTAAGCAGAGAAGTGATGTGATTTGTCTTAAAAAGATTGCTCTGGGGGCACCTGAGTGGCTCAGTGGGTTAAGCGTCTGCCTTCCGCTTGGGCCGTGAACCAGTGACCAGTGGGTCACTGAGGTGGGCTGATCATGCACCTGTGCTGCCATTTCCGCTCACTTTTCACCCCAAAATATAATAATAGGACGTACTCTACGGAGGTAATATTGGGCCAAATTCACAGAAACGCTGAAGCAGTGTTGTCAGAACATGGTCCCTGGACCAGCCAGCATCAGCCTCACCTGGAAATTGTTAGAAATGCAAACTCCTAGGCCCCTCCCCACACCTAGTGAATCAGAAGCTGTGGGAGTGGAGGTTAAACCAATAAGGCTTCCAGGTGATTGTGATGCAGGCTAGTTTGAAGCCGCTGTTCTCTGGGACCTATGGCCTCATTCTCCAGGCCATGTAGATTATACGCCTGGGAAAAAAAATGATGGTTTGGGCCCATCTGGCTGAATAGGTCCAGACCACCCCTGAACCATCATCTAACTAGGCTCTGGGTCACCCCCACCCCACCCAAAACAGCATCTTCACTCCCATCCCTCAGCCATTGTGGTTCTGGCCAGAGCCAGAGGGTGGCGCCAGCACCCCAGGCTTTCGCTTGGCTTCGGGAGCTAGAGACCCAGGAAGACTTATCCCCCTCCCCTGTGCCTTCTCCCTCCCCACCCCCCCACCCCCCTAAAGCCTCTGCTCCAAGGCCTGCCCACTTGGCAAAGGCTTTGCAGGGTGGCTTTCATCAGGAAGGGGGGAGCTGAGGCTGGCACACCCAAGGTAGGGGCCAACCCCTTCTTCCTGGAGGTTAGGAAGGTGGGCTGGAAAAGCCCCCTTGGTCAGGAAGAAATTAGGGTGTCTGGCCTGTGGGGCTTGGGGGCCAGGAGCCCAGGCAGGCGGCTCTGGTCCAGTTGCCTCTGGCTATACCCGTTTAACCCTCTGCCTATCCTGCCCAACCTCAGGTGAGGTCTCAG